TTGGGAAGGATCATGAGCTTGAATGCATGTATACCTAGCTAGGTACGGACGGTTAATGGTTAATGTCCTTGAGAAACGGTGATCTTGTATGTAAAACTACCGGAATCTTGTATTACGAAAAACAGACAGAACCGACCGCTAGTTGCCGCTGGGAAGCCATCTAAATGCACTCATGACACACCCCCTCCCTCTGGCAGTAACACAAAACGCTGCATGTGCTCCCTCCATGTATGATGGCGTTCCTCCAGACCCCGACAGCTTGAATGCTGCCCTCATCATCCCCTTGGACCGCTAACCATACCCAAAGTCAAACCTGCCGCCCGGGAAAGACCCCTATACCCTTCCACAGAAGCAATGCCGCCTTCGGAAAATAGATGGCCGAGACTCGTCTTGCTTCGCCGGCATCGCCTTCTTGACTGCCTCCTCTGCAGGAAAGTCCGCTTGGCGCGTTATCGGACATATTTTGTGAGCCTCCTCGTTCTTCTTGATAGTCGTCTCAGGCTCCTCCGCGCCCGGGTCGGGCACTTATCCAGCAGTACCGTCTGCAAGATCGAACTTGACCTCTGGGCAAACCTCCTCCATCTCCTGAGCGAAGCCGACGAGGGCCGAATGTTTTCGGTCAGTGTGAGATAACGCTCGGCCCGCCAGAAACTGTTCGCATGCCAGACAATGTTCGCCAACGGTATGGCACGTGCCTCGAGCTCCCGGGGATGGTTGCATTCGTGCCTGGAATAGTACCAGAGATCCCCCGCCTTGTCGTTGAATGTGAAGCGGGCACGCCTCGTCGAACGGTACCTCGAACAATCAGCCACGCCCGAATCCGAAGACGCTTTCCCACACTGCGATCCACCCGAGACCACCGAAGACGCTTTCCCAGACTGCGAGCCATCCGAGAACACCGATGAAGCTTTCCCAGACTCCGACCCATCCGAGAACACCTCCGCAGTCGTCCACTCATCCGAAGGCCCCTCCATCACCTCTGGAACCTAAATCGACGTGTTGGCAAGCTTCTTCCCCAGTGCGTCAACCTCAGCATCCGCCTTGGAAGCAAGGACGGGCTCCTCCTGAGCCTCCTCGGCCTCCTTGATAAGCTTCTCGGCGAGCACCGAGGGCTCAATCTCCTCCTCGTCCTCATCTTCGTCCTCCTCTTCCTCGTCAGAGTCGTCGCCCTCCAGGTCGCTCAGGCTGTCCAGACCCCAGTCATCCTCCTTGATGACATCGCCGCCAAGAGACTCCTTGCGCAATTCAAAAAGCTCGTTCAGGGCCATGATGGACTCGTCCTCCTCGTCCAGCTTGTTGCCGTTGATCTCAATCTTCTTGAGGGCCGGGAGACCCTCCTTGACGGCATCCGCCAGGCGCTTGAGCCCGGAAGCGGCAATCTCGTTGTACTGCAGGCGCAGGAGCTCCAGCTTGGCGTTCTTGCCCTTAGCAAGCGACTTGGCCAGCGCGAAGCTTCCCTTGTTTCCGAGGAGCGAGTCGCCGATGCCCAGCTCCAGGATCTCGGTCCAGCGAGGAGCGACCTGGGCCAGGGCCTTAGCGCCCGAGAGCGTGAAGGTGTTGTCCTGAAGATCCAAGACCTTGATCTCGGTGGCGTGGCAGAGACCCTCGCTCAGCAGATACGAGATGCCCTCCTGGCGGATGCCGTTCTGCACCATCTTGACCTCCTTGATCTTGTTGTGAAGGCTGAACGTCTTGGCCCAGGCGTTCATGCTCCCGTTCTCGAGACGGTTGCGACCGCAGATGACGGTCTCGAGGTAGGGAACATCCTGACCCTTTTTCCGCGCCTCCTCCTTCTTCGCGTGGAGCTCCGACAGAGCATCGGCAATCAGGATGCCCGCGTGGGGGCCCAGGCCGTTGTTGTTGAGGTAGAGGTGCTGCAGGGGGACGTGGGAGGCGAGAAAAGCGACGAGGGGGGCTTGGGTGTTGAGGCCAAAGGCGTTGTCGTTGAGGTTGATGGTGTTGAGATTGGGAAGGTTGAGGATGGATGTGAGGAGGTAGGAGAGGGCCTCGGGGATCTCATTGAGCAAGCGGCCTGTGAAGATATCGGCAAGGTTGGCAACCTAGCAGGCCAAAGGTTAGCATCTTGACGCGGCGCAGTGGAAGGCAACGGAAAAAACCAGGGTGTCTCTTACTCGGAGGTTCTTCTTTGTGGCGAGGACTTCACCCAGCAGTTTGCAGGCGCCAACACCCAGCGTGTTTCCCAGAAGGCGCACCTCCTCGACGTCGTTGGCTCGAAGGTCGGCAATGTGAGCCTCCAGGTCCTCGGCCGTGTCGAGCTTCAGGCTCTTGCCCTCGAGGGAGAAGATCTTGGAAGAGGGGGCCATCTTTGAAGGATGGGGAATTAAAAAGGGATACTCGGCAGAAATGCAAAGCGGATACGGTAGCGGTAGAGAATGCGCGGCTCGTTGCAGGTGGGAAAATGGAAATGGGAAAACGGGAAAGGGTTCTTGCAGGCGCAGGCAGACTTTCTTTGGTGGAGGAGATGGTGTGGAGGGGTAGGTTGTAACTTTATGGAACAAAACAGAAGCCCCGCGCCGTTGCTTGGGCTGCCGAGGGACCCACATCGTCTCGTGCCTGACAGGATCACCAGGGTCCCTCCCAGAGCTCCAGGACCAGTGAGCACCAGCTGGTGCCAGCTGTTCCCTCGAGACTGGCAGCTGCCGCAACAAGCCCGTCGCGTCACCTTGAGACTTGGACATTGGCGACGTGTGGTGCATTGTGCACTGAGCACTCAACATTTGCAGCATCATAACCATTCCACCCCATCCCATCGTGACGTAGCGCCGCCGTACATTTACGACATCCAATTCATCGAATAACCAGTCCACTCCAGTCTCCAATCTCCCAATTCCATCAATCGCTCCTCCCACCCACCACCACCACCACCACCACCCCATCTCCAACATCTCCAACACCTCCTCCACCAGTCCCGCCTTCGCATATCCATCATCGATCCAAGATGGCACGGGCGGACTCACCCGCAGACGACTCCCCCCTCTCATCCGTCGATAGTACCGAGGACGAATATGGAGGCGACGCCACAGAGCCCGAGGTCGAGCCCATGGAGGACGAGCGGCCATCTAAGCGGCAAAAGCTCGGCGGCGGCGCGGGCTCGACCACCTCTTCGGCGGCGGTAGTGCAGGAGGCCGAGGCCGAGGGCGGCGCCGACAGCCTTGACGGCATGTCGGACGTATCATCGGACACGGACGGCGACATCCCCAGCTCGCCCGTCCACGCGCGTGCCGAAGAAGACGACTTCCAGGAGCAGGTCACCGTCTGCGCGTGGGAAGGGTGCCGGGATGGCGACATGGGCAACATGGACAGGCTCGTCCGCCACATACACGACACCCACATCATCGAGAACCGCGCCAAGAAGTACACGTGCGAGTGGGTGGGCTGCTCGAGAAAGAGCATGCCGCATGCGAGTGGCTACGCGCTCAAGGCGCACATGAGGAGTCACACGCGCGAGAAGCCCTTTTACTGCTATCTTCCAGGTATATTTTTGCCGTTCCCCCACCCCCGGCACGAAGCTGACCGACCGTACCAGAATGCGACCGAGCCTTTACGCGCTCCGACGCCCTCGCAAAGCACATGCGCACTGTGCACGAGACGGAAGCACTACGGCCCTCGGATCCTGTTCCAAAGAGTATGCAGGCCGCCTCGGGCCGGGGCTCCAAGCTCAAAATCATCCTCAAGACACCCCATTCGCACGCCTCAGGGCACGACGACACGGTTGACGAGGGCAGCGGGGCCGACGACTCGAACGGCGACATGTTCACACCCCTGAGCGAGGACCAGGGCTTCACACGCCGCGAGCTGGACATGCCTCTGGAGCGGCTGGCCAAGGTCTGCAGGCTGCAGCTCCGGTTAGAGGAGGAGGAGAATAAGCATCTCCAGGATGAGATCAAGAAGTGGGAGGAGCTGTACAAGAACGAGTGGTTGGAGAAGGAGGTGTTGCTCGACCAGGTGATACAAACAGAGCAGGCGTTTGCCTTTCGGCGCAAGGCGGTGCTCAGCGGTGCCGCCGACGTCCAGGTCCCCGCGGCAATGGGCAACGGCCACAACGGGTCCCACCAGTCGAGCGAGGCCTCGAGGGTCGCATCGAAGGTCGTGGATGAGATGGATACGGAGTTCTAGAAGCACAACACACGCGGCACAAACCGATACAACGGCTTTAGCGGTAGACTTGGCCCGCCGATAGGCACTTTGCCGCCGAGAGGCACTGTGCAACTCGAAGTGGCTTCAAATGCAGAGGAGGCGCGAAAGAAGGGAGGGTATCAGGGGTGGCCTACCGTGGATGATGTTGGGGGCGAGGAGGATAGGGGGGGAGGAGTGCAACGACAACTTAGATGGATGGGGCCGCGATGAGGCTGTCCGCGACCATCTCGAATCTGCCCGGTGCCTCGGCACCGGGGGCTCCGGACCAGGAGCAGGGGTTATTAAACCCACCCACAGTCAGCAATGCCAGCTTGCTAGTAGCAAGCGTAGCGTAATACGATTATCACGAAGGCAAGGGAGAGGGCTGGGATAGGTTGGCGGCGTATACCGGCACAGCGTTTATTCTGTATTTTCTAGGCTTGGGACTCGGTCACTATATGCAGACTCTCATGCTGCGGGAGCATGAATACTTGTCCCTGTCCAAGGTCCGCACATGCGTGTGCAAACTCCGACCAGGACATGAACACCTCTTCGCAGTCCAACAACCACATACGACCACAGGCACTGGAAAATTCGGGATCCCGTCCGCTCTCCCATAGACAAGCCAGCGACCGCCAGACTAGTAGTTGGGTCGGTGACGACCAGCGAATCCCTGGTGTTGTATGTTTTTTGGCCTTCCTTTTTGCCTCGTCGCCTTTGTGCACCGACTTCATTGTTGATTCCCCCTTTCCCCCAGGACACCCCTGTCTCCTTTCAGGGGTCGTCAATAAAAAAAACTGACAGATATCCCGCAGTCAGACCCGCACAATGTGGGTTACACATGACAGACAAAACTGTAGGTTTGGAGGAGCTAAGAATCGAACTCAGGACCTTTCGCAGGACATGCTGCTTGATTCAGAAGATATATCTTCATCTCAAACAAGCTGGACTGCTAAGCGAACGCTCTACCAACTGAGCCACACCCCCATATTGAATTGTTGATTGCAGGTTTCTTGCAGCAACACAAGTATCGTGTCGGCATGAGGCTCCAACACGTCTGCGCACACATCTCGGGGCCGACACAGGGTAGCGATTTCAAAACGCAATTTCTTCAGATGTCGCCTGTCATACATATACTGGTGGCGTGATGGTGGTGGTGGTGGTTCAACTCCGCCGACCATCTCCCCATCCCGAGTCCCGGCGGGGAGGAGCGGCAGTCGCCGGCCCCACATGCCGGCACCGGACCTCCGAACGCCCCCCGGAAGGACCCGGCCGCAGCGCACTGCACTCTAAAGTCTTTCGGAACCCGGGCCGGATAAAGTCGCGCCCTCCCCCCAAACCAAAAATTCCCGCTGGTTTCACGTCCCGCCGCATGAACGGGTGCTGTTGCGGACGTACTATCGACGTGCATAGATCCAGGCACACACACACATCGCAGACAACACGCCACATAGACACCTATCTATCTCGGTGCCGGGCGCGCGGTTGGTTTGGAGGGTTTATTGCTTGTGGAGAGGGGGGTGTTATTTGCGCGGTTATTCGCGTTCTTTTTCTCTCTCTTTCTGTGCCATGGTCTTTGTCGCGTCGAGATCGAGATGGATCAATGCCGGGCGGGACTGGATGAAGGTAGGGAGGTGGACATGATCTGACAATGGAAATACCCAAGATCAACACGGCGACGACGCCTCTCCCTTGGTCCCCGTCGCCATCCCGAATGCCCGGGTCAAAGTGCCGGCAGCGCGGTGTGCCTCGCCACACGCCTGGCCTCGATCCAACTGCATGTACATGTACTACACCACAACAGAACTACCAACGACACCAAAGTCAGCCCCCATCGACCATCCCGATACCCCGAAAGGACACACACGCCAGCAGCCAACAGAGGTCCTTCGTCGTGCAACCTGACATACCCTTCCTTCTCACGCTCGACGCTCGATACGAGCCTCGACAAGCAGAAAACCGAAATGCCAGGTACGTCCGCCTGCATACTCGAGCACTCTGACCCAAACCCGCCCGCCTGGGCTGGGCCGGACTAGGCTGGACTCGCTCGCTCGCTCGCTCGCTCGCACCCGTCAATGGGTGCGTGTGCCTTATAGCCGGCGTCGGCGCCAAGGGACATGGGTCGGGGCCGGATAATGTAGGTGCTTGGTGGTGGTGGTGGTTGTGGAGAGGGGGGGGGGGGGGTGTGAGGGAAGGATGGGTGGTGGTTTTCTTCCAAGCGAAAGAGGCGTCGATGCAGGTGCCATCTATCTACGAGGTACGTACCTGCCCGCGTGTAAGTGGTTTGGGAGTTGGGGGGAGTGGGTTGGGTTGCCATTGCCTCTTGTCATGTCCGTGTGGAGGTCTTGGAGGTCGAGTTTCTGGCTTTGCGTTGGCGATCATGAGGATGTCGGTTCTAGACCCGAGACGTCGGTGTTCCCATTGTTCCTTGGACTCGTCAAACGTGCGGCGCAAGACTTAGATGACCGGCTTATACACTACCGATCGCAGGTACCATAGGACGCCACCGATATCTCATGGTACCAGTTGACCGGACCTCGACCTGGCCTGGCTCTGGGCAGCCCGGACCAGGAACCGGGCTCCGTCCGATACTTCTTTGCTCTGCTGGTCACTGGCCTCGAACACAACACATCTCCTCGCATCCCCATGCAACCAAAGTCCGAAGATGATTCATGTCGTCGCCAACACCGGACAGTCGTATCTTCACCTCGAACCTCTCTCCCCGAGACCAGAGCACAGCAGCAGCAGCAATACGGCACATGGCCTCCATCCCGTCTCACCTACATTGTCCACCCGCTCATACATGGCCGCGATAAGGCACGGTGTGAGAGAAAAAGTCCGATATGCTACCTGCTGCTGACGGCTCACCTCCCGTCCACGAAGGAAACAAAAAGCACCATGGGAGCCAAGATCGCCACACCTTGTTTCCCCAACGGCAGTACACAGTAGACGGGCGACGAGTTTGCCTCCGTGAACCAACAGCCACCATCGGTACGGTAGTGTCCTGTCGATCGCCTCCTCCATGATCTGCTTCGAACCCCGTGCCTCCCCGAATACCCCCCTCGCCCCCGTACCCTTCCATTCCCCCTCCTCACCCCTCATACTAAACATTCTAGACGTCTCCCCGCGCGTGTCGATCCCTTCCCCCTCCCCGCTTCCCTCCTGGATCGCGACGCGATCCCAATCCGCTACCACCCCGTGAGGAATCAGATCGGGGACCGTCCCTCCTCCCCTTTCCCCAACCAGAGAAGACAGACAGACATAAACGACTCCAGTCGTCCATCTCGATCCCCACATTTACATGCCTGGCCTGCCGGCAATATCACCCGCCCGTCGCCGCTCGCTGGCTGGCGTGGCTGGGCACACAGACGGCGTCGTAGCAGTCCAATCCAGTCCAGCCCAGTCCATCCCAGTCCGGAGACGTGTGCTGATATAGTACCTACCCCACCGCAAAGTACCGTCGCATCACGTCTCTACATAGTACATATGTCTGGTGTCGTGGTCGCTCGCGGGCCGGGGGCAAATCATTTGGTCCCAAGTCGAGTAGCGAGATGGGAGAGCGGAATGGAGAGACACGCATGTCCACTTGGGATGGGACGGAGCTGTTTTTTTTTGTTTGGTCTGGTTCGTGAAATACAGTAGCATCCATTCATACGACGCGCGTGAGGTGTTTGTTTGGTTCCGTGCCGTGGGTGCCGCCGGCCGCGTCGGTTGTTGGAGATTGAGGTGGGATTTGAGGTTGAGTTTTCGGTTTTGTTTTCGCTGCCCATGGTAGTGAGGTTGTCGTCATGAATGGAATTTAACGGTGTTCAAATCAATTGCAACAAATCACCAGGAACAAATGTAAGGGGGTATTCAACTTGTATATTAACACGTATTAAAAAAGACGTCGTGAGGAGGAGTCGCTACGATTTGCAACCAGCGGGGGGGCACATGGAGCCGCCGCCCGCCCGCAGCAGGGAGAGAGGAGGGCAAAAGCACTGAAGAACAATGTCTGGCAAAAAAGCGACACGCTTAAGCAACCTTCTCCGTCTCCTTGATGTGGACCTCCTTCTCGACCTGGTGGAGGTCGAGGCGGGCGACGTTGGCGTCGTCGCCGTCGATGACCTTGGCGAGCTCCTCGAGGGTCGGGCCCTTGGTCTCGACGTACATGAAGTACACAAAGACGAGCTCGAGGAAGATCCAGCACTGTGGGACAAAGAGTTAGCGGCTGCTTGTAACAAGAAACGGGTGCGGGAGAGCTTACGGTGTAGATAAGGTAGAACCTCCAGGTGTGACCCTCGAAAGCCTTGAAGGCGATGGGGTTGGCGTAGATGTTGAGGGTGAGGGCGGCCTGAACGAAGACGTTCATGATCATGAGACCCTTGGCGCGGAGCCTGTAGGGGAGAATCTCAATGGTGTAGCCGACGAGGAGACCGGACCAGGCGAGCGAGTAGAAGATGCCAAAGACCCAGATGAAGAAGATCATGGCCTTGTCGGCACCAGGGGCCTTCTTCTCGTCGTGCATGGCCGAAGTCAGAGTCCAGAAGACGAAAGTGCCAAACATGCCGGCGGTCGAGGCCAGGAACATGGGGCGGCGGCCGACCTTGTCGACAAGCATGGCCATGGTGATGGAGACGATGAGGGCGAGGACGGTCTGGCCGGCCGAGAGGCCGAGCTTGGGGGTCGACTCGGTGACACCGGCGGAATCGTAGAGCTTGGACGAGTAGTTGGAGATGATGGCGTTACCCGACCACTGCGAGAAGACACCGAGCGAGATGAGCACGGCAAGACGGTAACGGTTGCCCTTGGTCTTGAAGAAGTCGAGGTAGCTGCTGTTGGCAGCAGTCTCCATCTCGAGACGGATGGTCTCCTTGATCTCGCGGAACTCGAACTGGACCGTGGGGTCGTTCTCGTTGCCGTTGGCGTGGTACTTGGCGAGCATGGCGAGCGCCTCGTCGTGCCTGTCCTTGGCGATGAGGAAGCGGGGCGACTCGGGCACCCACCAGATGAAGCAGATCTGGATGGCCGAGGGGAGGGCCTGGAGGAGGGCGGGAATGCGCCACGACCACTCGTTCTTGAGGAAGTCGGTACCGAAGCACAGCCAGCCGACGATGAGGGCGCCGACGTTCCACAGGCAGTTGTAGACAGTCGTGAGGCGGCCACGATGCTGGGGGTGGCAGATCTCGGTGAGAAGCATGGGCGAGGCGAGCTGGGCGAGCGAGTTGCCGAAACCAAGCATGAAGCGGCTGCCCATGAAGGTGGCGAGGTTCTTGGAGGTACCCTGGAGGATGGCGCCGACGATCATGATAGCGCAGCCCATGGCGATGGGGAGCTTACGGCCATAGTTGTCGGCGATGAAGGGACTGCGCGCAACCAGTCAGGTCAGGTCCCATCCGGCGCCGGACAGCTTAGGGGGGCGGGCCACTTACACAATGGGGATGGACACCAAGCTACCAATCTGGTAGAGGGCTCCAAGCAGACCGAGCATCTGATCCTCGGGGTTGCCAAAGTACTCCTTCCACACGTCGAAATTCTGCACGCCGTTGAAGAACATGCTATGGCCCGAGTTAGCTCCCTGCGCACCAGGTCGGCGAGGAGGGGATGTCTCTTACCCATCGTAACCAGTGGTCGCGGAGGCAACGCAAAGAATAATGGCGTAGAAGTAGAGCTTGCGAAGTCCTGGGTCCTTGGACCACTCGACGTGCTCGAACTGGGGGGCTTCATCCTGGGCCTGGGCCACGGCCTGGGACTGCGGCTTCTTCTTGAAGATGTTCATGGTGGCGGCTTGTCGTCCCGAGTCTTGTTGAACGGGTTTGGTTGTCCCACAGCAGGAGGAGGACTCGACTGGTCCGTCTCCTGGGTATTCTGTATGTTGTTGAGAGGGATGGGAGAGCACGGGGAGGAAGGCAAGATCGATACCAGCTCGAGGGAGATTGGGGTTTATAAAGAAGTTTGCACGCGTACCAGGCGCGGATGGCAGCAAGTGGGTTCCCTGACGGAAGACG